TGCACTTGCCTCCCCGCGCGCTTCTTCGCGAAATCGGGCCCTCTCGAAACCCACCTCCGAATCCGAGCGAAAGGCGACGAGAAGTCGTGGATGTCCAACCCCGTTGGAAGCAGGAGAGCTGAACGACTTGCAGCCTGGCGTCGCTCTCCACTGCCTCTTTGCGCGCTCGGAACCTCTGTCTGGTTCCTGGCTCCTGATGGCTACAGGGCTCGCCAAACGCACGCAAACGCAGCCACACCCAGCTCAACCCCCGAGGGCTGAGCCGGTGTTGAACAGGTGGTACACCAACCAGGTGGGGGGGGTCATCCGTGGAGGAGAGGGAGACCGACGGAAAGAGACGACTTGAGAGTGGGAGGAACAAAGAACGGCATAAACATAAACTTTCGCTGGTCCGTGCGGATTTCTTGGATCCGCGCTGGGCCCCCCTCCGTGGCGCGCGGAGCGCGCCAGGGGCGGCGCCGGAGGCGCCACCGGGGGCCCCAGTGCGGATCCAAGAAATCCGCGCGGAGCGCCAAAAGTTCATGCTTATGTGTGTGTTTTCCTTCTCTGCTGCATTATTTAGAAATCTTTGTGCAGCTCACTTCCCGTTGAAACCCTAATTTTCAAACTCTATGTTTCAAGCTGATATTCCAGGGAGCCTACTGTCCGCATGCACCGCACTGTAATGTGTGTAGGGAGCTCTACGAGGTTCCCGGCGGTAACCTGGTTGACGGTCGAAGGAGAGGAGGGTCCTCCGCCTCCTTCGCCTCCTCAGCGGCGCTGGCCGAGCCCGCAGGGGCCTCGCCCGCCACAGCAGCCTTCGCCCGCCTGGCGCCGTCGGCGGGCGCCTGGGAGGACCTCGCCCGCTTGCCGGGGCTGCTGGGGTCCAGCTCCGCGGGCCTGCGCTCCGCACGGGGCGACACGCCGGGAGGAGGGGGAAGGCGGGCCACTGGGCAGAACGAGGGGCAGGGGGGAGGTGGACAGAAGCGGGGAGCGGGAGGGGAAACGCTCGAGGAGCAGGGGTGGGGGGGGGTGGAGAGAAGGGGGCGGGGCCAGGGGGAGAGGGGGAGGGGGGGAGGGCACGGTGGCGGAGCACAAGGAGCAAGGCACGAGGTACGAGGAACAAGGAACGAGGTACGAGGAACGATGACCGAGGAGGAGGAGGAGGAGGAGGAGGAGGAGGAGGAGGAGGAGGAGCAGGAGCAGGAGCAGGAGGAGGAGGAGGAGGAGGAGGAGGAGAAGTAGGAGAAGAAGGAGAAGGAGGAGGAGGAGGTCGAGGAGGAGGAGGGGGAGGGGGCGGCGGAGGAGAAGGAGGAGGAGGAGGATGAGAAGGAGGAGGGCCTGCTCTGGGGCCTCTTCCGCCTCGGGCCCCGCGTGGAGCCGACCCTGCCGCCCGTGGTGCCGCTGCGACCGGCGCGGTCGGAGCCCCGGGAGGCGGTGGCGCTCTCCTCCCCGTGCGCGAGGGAGGAGGGATTTGCTGTCCGCTCCATCCCGCTCCGCCCGCCCCGCCCCCCAAGGCCCATCCTCCTCCTCCTCCTCTCCTCCTCCTCCTCCTCCTTCCTCCTCCTCCTCCTCCTCTTCCTCCTCCTCTACTCCTCCTCCTTCTTCTCCTCCTCCTCTCCTCTTCCGCCTCGTCCTCCTCCTCCTCCTCCTCCTCCTCCTTCCTCTCCTCATTCATCATCATCATCATCATCATCTCATCATCATCATCATCATCATCATCATCATCATCATCATCATCATCATCATCATCATCATCATCATCATCATCATCTCCATCCTCTTCTCTCCTCCTCCTCCCCTCCTCCTACTCCTCCTCCTTCCTCCTCCTCCCTCCTCCTCCTCCTCCTCACTCCTTCCTCTCCTCCTCCTCTTCCCTCGTCCTCCTCCTCGTCCTCCTCCTCCTCCTCCTCCTCGACCTCCTCCTAGCCTCCTCCTCCTCCTCCTCCTCCTCCTCCTCCTCCTCCTCCTTCCTCCTTCCTCCTCCTCCTCCTCCTCCTCCTCCTCCTCCTCCCCCTCCCGGTGCCGATGAGTACCCACAGCCTGTGAGGCTTGACTCCTGTGAGGAACGCACGGGGCGCTGGTGAGGGAATGCACATCTGACAATCTCGAAGAGCACCCTCGCAAACGCCCCATCAGGTTAGGGAGCTGGGGCGACACCAGCAGTCCTCCTTGCATCGTCTCACTGCCGCTGCTACCCCGCTTTTCTCGGCCATCATGCTACCCTGCTTTTCTTTCTCTTTCCCAGCTCATCCCGCTACCCCTACCCACCTGTTGGGAAGACCAGGGCGCGGGCATCCCAGCCCCCATCCAGTGGCGCCAGCCGCAACTCCTCCCGCCTGTTGTAACCAGCATGACTTGGGAGCCTTAGGTCCCCAACCACCCCCCCTTTGCCCGGGGCCCTCCCTTCGCCCGGATCGGCGGAGGACTCCCAGGAGCGTGATAGTCATAACTTACAGCCGCCCAAGGTGGCAGATTGTTGCCCCCCTTTGACACCGCCTAGTTCTGACCAGGTTCGTGGGACGCCACCGCGGGAGAGAAGGTTGAGCGGGGTCGCTCCCGAAACGCGGATTTGGTGGCGTTCCCCTGTCGTGCCTCGGTCGCCTCTCAGTTGCCTCGAACTGTTGGACGCGTATACCGAACGGTGCGCACCATGCCCAACAATCATTGTGTGCGAATCTGCCACCGTCGAAGCACAGACCATTAACTTCCTGGGCAGCCCCCCTCGTAGCGGCCTCGCCCGCACTGCAGTTCCCTGTCCCCTTCTTGCACCTCTCTCTCTCTCTCTCTCTCCCTCTATCTCCCTGATGCTGCCTTTTTGTTGCGCCCCACAGCTTCTATGACACAACCAACTTGTGGGACAAATCCACCCCAGCGAGATCGATATACAACGTGCTGCATTCATCTGTGTCTCGCACTTCCAGCTCAGGGGTAACATCCTCGCCGAGATCGATCCGTCGCTCGCCAGATCCCCTTCCCAGTTCCCTGTTGCCTTCCATCCCTCTGCTTACGCCCTCCCCCAACGCTGGTCGTCTCCATTTCCCATCTCTTTGCCACTATGCCTCTTGCTCTTGCCACCAGGCCACCCGCCCCAACCTCCCCGCGTTTCGGGAGCGCGGCATGGCATGTCATGCCTTGCCGAGCTCCCGAAACGCGAGCGATGTCTACAGAAGCCGCCGGTGACCCAGGTGGACCCCTCTGCAGGCCACGTGAATTCACCAGCAGGATGTTGTATCTTTCCAGAATGTTGCTAGCAGTCATCCGACTGTTGGGGTGTGCGCAGTCTCTCTTTCAGAGGTCCACGGCTTCGAGAGCCACTCGCATCTAATGCACGCTGCACGCCGCTGCAGGCTAAACATAGAGGCTGCACGACGGCACAGCCATCGAGGCAACGGCCAATTACCGAGGTAGAGAAGAGGGCGAAGAAGGGGAGGCGGAGGGCGGCGGAGAAGGGGGACAGGCCAGCAACGCCGCAAGCATGCCGAAGAACTGCCCACCCAAACTGCATGGCCAGGATCAGGGGGGACCAACATTTCCACGTCGCAGAGAAGGTTCCTGCCCCAGACTCGGACAGGATCACGCATCTTCGGAGGCCAATCCAGCGCTCGCTGCGAAGTCAGCTGGCGAATTCTCAATGCGGCTGGGGACCCATCCCGACCGCTCCCTGCGAGGAGTGACATGGGGATCCTCGATTTGCTGTAGTGAGTATCGTCGGTACCGCACGCTTGGTTGACTAACTTGAACAAGGATTTCAATGCTCGTGAAAAGCTTAGCCGGTGAAACCTTGATCCGAGGTGGTACTCTCCAGAACCAGCTTTTCTGTAAGTTGTCCGATACCTTCAGGCGCGCGCCGAGCTCGCGACACTTGATGCGGCCCAGACTCCCAGGTTAGGCGCCCGTCGGTCTCGTGACGGCTTTCTCTTGACCAGGCGCCCTTTTCTTTGTCAAGCGTCATTCCTTTGGTCAGGCGCCTTTCTGCAACCTAGCGCCCCTTCTCTTGGTGAAGCGCCCTGTTCTCCGTCAGGCGACCCTTCCTTGGTCGGGCGCCCTTCTGTCGCCCGGGGCACACCTCTTGGTCGAGCGCTCTTCCCTTGGCCAGGCGCCCTTCGCTTGGCCATGCGCCCTTCTGTCTTCGCCTGAAATCGCCACAGGGCACGTGCTTGATCCAAACGCCAGCGGGCGCATGACACGTGAAACGCAACGCTTGGGGACCTGTGTGGCTCTACTTTGTTGCGTCTCGTGTTGCTTCCACAGAGTGCCACGCACTGACTTGCATCATGTTTCAAGCTAATACGCTTCTAAACTATGTAGGCGGTTCTACGTTGTTGCGTCTCTTGCTGCTTCTACACCGTGCTACCGTGCTACGCACAGGCGCGTTTAATGCTTCAGGCTACCCTCGCCACCGGGCAGATGAGCTGTGCGAGAGTAAGATCAGCGGGGATGAGCTGCTCATCCCCGCCCCGCCGCGCAGAGGGGAGCAATTCTATCGTCCTCGCGTCTCGTCTTGCTGTCGCTCACTGTGCTCTCTCGCTTACTTTCTTCTAACTTCTCTCTGTCTATTCTCGCCCCCCCGTTCCCTCTCCTGTCCGCTCCCTCCTCCCTGCCTCCCTCCTGTGCGTATCCTGCCCCTTGCTTCCGTGCCCGTTGCCCCATCAACCCGGACCATGCGGCTGCCCTGTCGATTGGCACCCGCCTGCGCCGCCTCATGTCGAAAGCCCGCTGACCCCGCTGCCGCTCTCGCTCCGCGTGTCGGGCCACTCGTCCACTCTGCACCCGGCCGCAACGACCGCCACCGTGCGCAGACCTGCCCGTGCTTCCCACCGAACCCGACGGGCCTCTCCTCGGGCACGGCCCGGCTCCGCCGCCTCGAGCAGGCAGGCCACGGCGCGCCGTCCCCCCTTGACGTCTGCAGCGCGGCGCGTGGCTGGCCCGTGCATCCGCCCATGGGGAAGCCGTTCAGGGCCGTTCAACACTCTGACACGTGCGTGGCTCGCCCCCGTCTCCGCCCATGGAATGCCCCTCAGCGCCTTTCCACAGGCCGCTCAACAATCACACTTGTGTGTGTGTGGCTCGCCCATGGCTCCGCCCATGGAATGCCCTGCAGGGCCGTTCTACACTCAAACAAAGCTACAAGGGCGATGGCACGGCGTGATAGCTTGCGCCACACTCTCACCCGCACCTTGTGCGGCTTCGTGTCGCTGTACGTGTGACACCGTTGTCTTGCGGCACAAAGCGGGTGTCCAACTTTCGCTTCCACTCCCCCGTGCCATTCTCTCGCGATTTCTTCTCTGGTAGCCCGAACATCGAGAAGCCCGCTCTTGTGTCCAATCAACCTCTCGGCTCACAGGCGGTGAATTGCACGCATCCCTGCGCCCCTGCGCTTCATTTCATCACCCCCGCTTTCTCGTACATTCTCGCTTCGGCCTTCGCTGTCTGATTCGTGTTTCGTGCTGTATTTGTTTTGTGGTGTTCCTTCGCTCTCTCTCTTTCTCTTTGTTTCTCTCTCTCTCTCTCTTTGTCTCTCTCAGCCGCTCTCTCTCTCTCTCTATCGCTCCCTCTGGTCTTGCTTCTCCCTCTCTCGCGTTCTCTCCCTCTCTCTCTCTCTCTATCGCTCGTCTTGCGTATCCCTCTCTGTCCCCTTCTATCTCTCTCCCAGCACACTGTTGCCGCCATCGCGCTCCTCTTCGGTGCCCGATATCCCACCTGCCTTTTCCTCCCCAGGGTCCCTTCATTCCCATCGCTTTCCCGAACAGGCAAGCCCACTCCCGAAGGGTCTCATCACCATCCACAGCTGTCTCTCGAAAGGTGGCCGCCTCTTCTGCCCCCGCGGGCGGGCAGCGCGCAAGCCCCCCAAGGCTTGTGGCCGCCACTTCTATCCTCTCCAATCAGTGGCACCAGACACCGCCGAAGAGTGGCGCTTTTCACGACACCACCTCGCACAAGGACCAGCCACCCTCAATGCTGTATTCCGCCAGCATTATCCTCCTCCTCCTCCTCCTCCTCCTTCTCCTCCTCCCTCTCCTCTTCCATTTCTTTCCCTGGTAAATAACTTACCCGTGTCGCACCCCGAGGCCTGTGTTTAGGGCGGGCCGGGCATTTCGATTAAGCCCACCATTTACCACCTTAAATGTTTACTAGTGACAACAGCTTCACAGATGGAGGGCGGGTCGTTTTCAAAATGTGGTTCTCGCCTTAGCGCCGCGCACATACGCTTTCTACATGTGTAAGACTTTGACGGGTTCCACAAATTATGTGTTGGGAAGGATTCTGGATTATATGGATGCAGCAGTTATGTTGATTCCCGGCGATGGGGTCCCAACCATAGCGTCCTGGCACGATTCAGGATCGGCCAAACGCAACACTCAAGTTGATCCGTGGCGTTGGCATCCCGCGAACAATGTTTTGGCATGCTTCAGGGTCTTCAAACGGTTGTTTTCCAAAAAGATTGGTCCCTCAGTGGGAATGACCCGCTGTAGGGGCATATGCAGAAGGAGTTTGGAGCGAGGGTGCATTCCGACATCGTTGATGACTCTTGGGTTTACATCGGTCCTCCCCCTCCTCCACTTCCTCCTCCTCCTCCTCCTCCTCCTCCTCCTCCTGCCAGTTGGTCGCGGGCGCGGCGCCCCCACCAGCTCTCAGGGGACGGCCCTGAGCATCAGTCCCACAACTCATGCACCAGAACGAGTCCGCCCTGAGGCGTTGCAAGGATATTCCGGGAATGCCTAAGCTTCCCCCAGGCCGGATCATTCACATACGGGGGGGGGGAGGAAGAGGATAAGGGAGAGCGCCGCAGCAGGGGCGGCCAGGCGAGGGGCGGAAGGGAAGAGGGAGAGCGGTCGGGGAGCGGGGGGCGGCTGGGACGGTAGAAGAGGCGGTGGCGAACGTCGACGTCGTCGTTGCGGGGGCGGGGGCGGGGGGCGAGGGACGGGGGGCGGATGCTTTAGGCAGTCGTCGTCGCCGCGTTCGACTAGTGCGTCGCTGCGATTTCTGCTGCTGCTGCCGCCGCAGCGCTGCCCGTGATGTCAGCGTTGCTGCACGGGTGCCCTGGCGAGGGCTCACCCGCTGCAATCGTCGTGCGAACTCTTCTTAAAGGTGGCGCGCCTCCGCGGCGGTACACTCCTTGATCCGATGGACCCTCACCGGCCGAGCGCGCTGAGCAGCAACTCCGCGCTCCCTGTGTGGAGGTGCGTGCTTAGCGGCTGCCACGCGAAACGGATGACCTCCGTTCGGCGGGCAGGGGCCGTGTCGCGTGCCCACGATCGCACGTAGGCCGCAATCCCCTCGCCAGGCCGCCCACCAGCCTTGAAGATGACAGGGACCAGCTCCCCTCCGGGCGGCGGGTACCGCAGGTGTTTGGCATCGGCTGCGTTCCGAGTCGCGAGCCCGTCTCGGCCGGCACGGGCCTGCTGGCGCGACACGTCGTCGCTGTGTGCGCAGGTCACGCTAACGTCCAAGAGCACTGGCTGCACCGTGATGGCGTCACGGGTGGCCACGTCTAGTCTCGCCTCTAGCGTCCACCCTGTCCCAGGCCAAGTCACGCTGCTCGGTAACCGCGGTGAAACCAGTCACCTTCTGGCCGTAGGAGCTGCAGAAGTCACGAACCCCGTTGTGCCGCTGGTTACGAGCTGGCCCGCAAGGGCACTTGTGGGCATGCTTGCCCCGAGCGTCCATGGCCTGTCCTCATCTCCTCCTCCTCCTCCGCCTCCTCCTCCTCCTCCTCCTCCTCCTCCTCTGCTGCCTCCTCCTCCTCTGCTGCCTCCTCCTCCTCGTCCCCCTCCTCCTCCTCCTCCTCCTCCTCCTCCTCCTCCTCCTCCTCCTCCACTGCTGCCTCCCCTTGCCTCTCACCTCCTCCTCCTCTGCTGCCTCCTCCTCCTCCCCTGCTGCCTCCCCTTGCCCAAGCAGACACACGCATACACTGTTTTGGGCGGCGCGGCCACGCGCGCGGCTGCGCGGCGTAGATCAGGCCAGGCGAGCGCGTGGCCGGCTCAGCTCACGCACACACCCGCACACTCACACACACGCGCACACACAAATACACGCGCGCGCGACCGCGCGCGCACACACACACACACACCACACACACACGCGCGCGCGACCGCGCGCACACACACACACACACACACCACACACACACACACACACGCGCGCGCGACCGCGCGCACACACACACACACACACACACACACACACACACACACACGCACACACACTTGTTTGTTTGGTTCGGCAGCGAGCCGCGCGGCGCCCTCGCGAATCATACACACACGCACACAGCTGTAATCTCGAAGATGCGAACTTCTGCTACAGTGTCTATGCAGCTTGCTACAGCATGCTGCAGATGTGAGGGAGGAGGGGGGGATGATGAGGACCCTGGCCCTGCTGCGCCAGACCATCCCGAGGCGCGACGCACCCTGCAGAAACCCGATCACTGCCCCAGATATCGACTGATCGATGGATCGCAATATGCGGCCCAAGACTGAGCCGCAATCGAGAGGAGGATGAGGACGCGCAGGGGGAGAGAGGGGGGAGGGGGGAAAAATCTGTTCTGCCAGGGACCGCCGCCGCGCTGAATTGCAAGGTCAAAAACTCAAGGATCGAGAGGCAGGAACGTCTGCCGCCAGGCAGGCTTGAAATCACAAGCGATCCGCCCCGAGGCCAAACTCCTGGACTCAGTGCTCGGTGGCAGATGTCGCCACGCCGTTTGTTCTGAACGCGCCCAGGTAGACAAAGTCGGCACCGTGGCAAACCGCAAGGCGAACCTTGCGTCTGAGGCGGCTTTTGCCCTGGTGCCCGCGACGCCCTCCCCAAGACGTAAGGCCGCGCGTCGGAACAAACGGCGCAGCGACAGATGAGCGACTAGGGGAGGAGGTGCAGCAGTGGCAGCAGCATGTCGGCGGATCAGGTGCTCCCCCAGGCCCTCCGACTCCGTCTGCTCCGGCCCCGTCTGGGGCAGCCTGGAGCCTTCACAAAAGTGCGAGGCGGCGCGCAGATCTCTGACGGGGATCCCAAGGCTGCAGCGGAGTCCAGCCTCCGAGGAGGAAGGGGCCCGCCTGGACGCCCAGGACACCAGAAACGCCCACAAGCACCTCACCGACCTCCTCCCTCCACCCTCCTCACTCCTCCCTCCCTCCTCCCTCCTCCCTCCTCGCTCCTCAGTGTTCCTTACGCCCAGGAACTTCTGCTCAGCGTGTACGTGTGGCGGCGGCGGCCCCGGCGACACACTGTGCCCTGCGAGCGGATGGTGTGTCGCTCAGCTCCGTGGGGCGGGAGGCCGGTAAGAATTCGAGACGCTGGCGCTTGGAAATGGGGAGGTGGACAGCGCGTCGCGCCGAAGCGTGGTGGGCCAGAACCAGCGGAGCGACGCGCCAGGCCAGTGTTCCTGACCGTGCCCCCTGCGGGGCTCGGCCCAAGCAATGTTCTCCGCGATCCTGTCGCTTTCGTTTTCCCTCGTTCCGGCTTCGTTCCGCCTTCGCTGCGAAACGGAATCAAAACGAAAACGGTCCACGAAATCGCCCCGCCCCCCTAGGGGTGTCACACCGCATCGACGATCTCTCGAGGGGGGCCCGACGAAGCCGCTCAGCCCCGCACGTGGGGGATAAAGCACCACTGCTCTACCCCTCCTGCGCCATTCTGCCTCGATCCTCGCTCCTCCTCCCCACCCCCCTGGAACCCCCGATGGTGATCCAGACAGGGTCCAGGGCAGGGGCGTCAGCTCTTCTGCTGGGGAGGCCAGCGCCATGTGAGCGACGGCTTCCGCCGCCGCCGTTGTCCGTCGTCGCTGCGCTCGTTCGTCCGTCGTCCTCGTCCTCGCCGCCGCCCTTCGTCGTCGCCGTCTCGGTGGCTGCCGCTTCTCTCTGCCGGGGCGTCGTGCCCGCTCGGGGCGCGCGCCGGGCCCTCCTAAGAGTCCTAGAGCCCCGCCCGGGGATCCTGGAACTGCTGGAGCGGCGTCGGGGCCTCCAGGAGGAAGGAGAAGTCCATGGGCTCGCCCGAGGAGGACAGGGCGCCGATCGCCCTCGCGCACCTGGGGCAGCCAACCAGAGGAACGATGTCCTGCGGCCCTCCTTGTGCTCCTCCCCCTGTAACGTTTAGGCAAACTCAAATCAATTCGGACCGCAGAGTTCAACCTCCTCCTCCTCCTCCTCCGCCTCCTCCTCCTCCTCCTCCTCCCCTCCTTACTCTTGCTACACTCATGACAATCTGACCTCCTCCTCCTCCTCCTCCTCCTCCTCCTCTTCCGACTCCTCTTCCTCCGCATCACCACCACCGCCGTCGTCATCATCACCACCATCATGACCACCACCACCACCACCACCATCAACATCAACATCAACGTCCTCATCATCATCATCATCATCATCATCATCATCATCATCATCATCATCATCATCATCATCATCGTCATCATCATCATCATCATCATCATCATCATCATCATCATCATCATCATCATCATCATCATCATCATCATCATCATCATCATCATCATCATCATCATCATCATCATCATCATCATCATCATCATCATCATCATCGTCATCATCATCAGCATCATCATCATCAGCATCATCATCATCATCATCATCATCATCAGCATCATCATCAGCATCATCATCAGCATCATCATCAGTCATCATCATCGTCATCATCATCGTCGTCATCATCATCAGCATCATCATCAGCATCATCATCAGCATCTGCATCATCATCATCATCATCATCATCATCATCATCATCATCAACATACTCATCATCATCATCATCAGCATCATCAACATGAGCAGCAGCAGCATAAGCATCAGTATTATCAGTATCATCATCATCGTCGTGATCATCATCATCGTCGTCATCATCAGCATCATCATCATCAGCATCATCATCATCATCATCATCAGCATCATCATCAGCATCATCAGCATCATCAGCATCAGCATCAGCGTCGTCATCATCATCAGCATCATCATCAGCATCATCAGCCTCATCATCGTCATCATCAGCATCAGCATCATCATCCCAATGGTCATCATCACCATCAGTATCATCATCATCATCCTCATCAGCATCATCATCATCATCACCATCATCGTCATCGGCATCATCAGCATAGGCATCAGCATCATCATCAACAATAGCAGCATCAGCATAATCATCATCAGCAACAGCATCAGCATCATCGCCTTGATCATCACACTCATCAGCATCAGCATCCTCATAGTCAGCATCATCAGCAGCATCATCAGCATCGTCGTCATCATCGTCGTCATCATCACCATCATCATCAGTATCCTCATCATCATCATCAAGCCCAGTGCCATCATCCGAATCAGCAGCATCATCAGCATCAGCATCAGCATCACCAGTATCATCATCAACAACATCATCATCAGCGTCATCAGCATCGGTTTCGTCATCATCATCATCAGCAGCAGCATCATCATCATCTTCTTCATCATCATCGTACTCAGAATCATCATTATCATCATCAGCATCATCATCACCATCATCACCATCACCACCATCATCCACACCACCACCACCACCAGCATCACCATCAACAACGACGACAGCATCAGCAGCATCACCATCATCAACAACACCAACAACAACACAATGGTCATCGCCATCGACATCGTCATCAGCAACACCTACGTTGAAGAATACAGCCCAGAGGGCCCCAGGAGCGAAAAGTGATTCCACACCGCTGGACCACCAGCATCTTTAGGAGATTCGTGTTTGAAGTCTGCCCGAAGCCTGCCGAAGAGACCCCCACGATCGCCCCAAGACGGCCAAAGAGGCTTCCAAGAGGACCCCAAGGCCACAGAGGGCCCCAAGGCGAACCAAGAGACCTCGCAGACGGCCGACGAGGTCCCCAAGAGAACCCCAAGAGGGCCCACGGTCGGGGAACACGAATTAACATTTCGAGCCCGCCGCCCCAAGAGGACCCCCGAGAACGCCGACAGGCCTCTGAGAAGCGCCCAAGAGGCCCCAAGGGGCCCCTAAGGAAGCCCGGCATCGGCCCCAGGGTGCTTCACAGACATCAAGACGGTCTAGAAGAAGCCCCCCAGAGGCTCCCAGAGGAGCTCACCACAGTTCGCCGAAAAACTGTCGAACATGGTCCGTTGTACATGTCAGGGCGAGGGGGGCGAAGGGTGTTACACGGTCCCTGGGTGCGTGGCTGTAGTGAAACTCTGCGGTGCGGGTTGTCGTTATTGTCGTTGCTGTTGTCGTCGTCGCTCACAGGCCGCCCCACGACTCAAGCGCAACCCACCCTCGGCCCACTCGCGACCCGCCCGCGTCCCACCCGCGACCCACCCCCGCGACCCACCTGCGACCTACCTACGTTGCTTGGACGGAACAAATCGGCATCTGCGGCGGGCTCGTTACTCAATGTCTCGAAGTCTGGCGCCTGCGGCGGGCTTCTTCAAAATTCTTTTGAGCCTCGCAGACTTCCGAGCCCCCCCCCGCCCCCTCACTCTCATGCGCAACTGCGGAGGCGATGATAGGACACACCAGCGAGCCTTGTAGCTGTCTGCGGTCCAGGTGAATTCCGAGGCCGTTATCTTGCGTTCCACTACCCGCTTGCTTCCCTCGCGGCCCGCGATCACGAAGCGATCGAGCGACCTGATGCCCCGCGCGCCCTGGAAACGCAACGGGGGGGGGGGGGCAGCCACGCTCGGCCTCCAGACCATCACCGAGACGGCTCTAAGAGGCGGCCGAGAGGCGATTCGCGAGGACCTTCCTGCGAGAGGACCCTTCCTGGTTAGCCCCTGTCGTCGTCGTACTAAATGCCCCTCCCACCCTAGACCCGCAGCCCAGGCACGATGGCTGGACGGGCAGAAGAGGCGTGAAAAGTAACCTGTTGAAATGCTATCTACGATGTGCCTCAATACGTACACATACGCATACGGAGCCAACCACATACATACACACGCATACACACATGTCACTGGGGAAGACATGGGGGAACAAATCATAGCGCAAATTCCCCCACCGTCTCCGCGGTGTCCACGGGAGACAACGATGCCCCCCGCTGCCACGTCTCGCAAGCGCTGGGTCCGACAAGCGCGAGACACAGCTGGAGTCGAGCCCGCCACCGCAGCATAGGGCGGGACTTGGACCCCGTCACGTGTGCAGTTTGTTGGGGCACCATCGCCTGATATCTCGCAGCATGGTCACTGCAATGGCAAAGTGGCAACCGCAATCGGAGAAGTCGAGTCGAATTTCTTGGCGACACGGTGAATCCCGCCAGCCGCCTGGGCCCAGGTGATTTAGATCGCGTCCTCCTCAAACTGTTTCTCCGTTCAGAGAGGTCATTTTGTTGACTGCTGAAATCTATTATACGTGTGTGCACGTATATACGTGACTACACATAGGTAGACACGCACGCGTGTATTCAAAAATATACACAATACTATATATACACACCTATATACTAAAGCTGTTCCCCAGACAGTGTTTGCACTTAGGGCCTCTTTCTTGTTTAAGGAACTGGGCCTGAATGTCGATATGGCGGCTATGTTGTCGCCGTCGCAGCCAGGTTGCCGCCTTTACGCCACCCGCCGTCTGGGCTGACTATCGGTCTGGCGGCTATGTTGTCGTCGTCGCCTCCCCGTCGCTGCTTCATCGCCGCCCGTATTCTGGGCCGGATCGTCGGTCACTCGGCTATGTTGTGGTCGTGGCCTCCCCGTCACTGCCTCGTCGCCGCCCACCGTCTGGGCCGGATTGTCGGTTTGGCGGCTATGTTGTCGCCGTCGCCGCCCCGTCGCACATAGATTGCACCACATAGATAGCACAACAGATTTCACCGCTGATGCTGCACCACGCCAGTTGCACTGCATACGATGCGCGCCACATTGATTATCTTTCCTTGAAGAAAATATTCGGATCTACCCCCCCCCTCCTTGGGAATAAAAGGGGCCCTTTTCCGTATTGCAATTTGCGTATGATTATGCTCAATCGCCCATCCCAAATACGAGCTCATACAATCGCAAATGAAACGATACCCCCCCCTCATCCTCCACAGCCAAGAAATATGTGCGCACACTCGTTTATCGAAAACCATTAGCTTCCAAATATCCTTTGCAAAAAGTTAAACGACATACAAACGCGCGCGTCGTCGCGCGCATGCCAGAATCGTTCGAAAATCATGGGTTGCGCAAAAGGTTTTAAAATCGAGTGTCCCAGGAATATATGTGCATCTACACACATATATATTTATATATATATATATATGAAAACAAGAAACATGGTTTCGCAACCAGAATCTTCAACAACAAAACCTGCGTTTGCGCTCTTGCGACTTTTGTAGAAACAAGAAATATGATACAAAACATTGGTTGTTCAACATCTTAACAACGTGCTACCAAAAGGGCCTCTCGCGCGCGCATGTCGAAATCGTTCGAACGCCCTTGCGCGCGTGCTCTCGCAAAGGTCCTTTGCAAACAGTTGGACGAAATTCACACGCGTGCGTCGTCGCGCGCGCATGCCGGAATCCTTCAAAAACCGTTGGTTGCGTAAGGGTTTGGTAATCGAACGCCCCAGGTATATATACATATATATACACAGACATACATATATAGTTATATATATACACATACATACTTATATATACATATATATACATGTCTATACTTATATGTATATAAGTGAAATACGGCTTCGCCACCAGAACCTTCAACCAAAAAACCTGCGTTCGCGCTCTTGCGACTTTTTTCGCTCTATTAACAAATTCTTCTAAAGAAACAAAATCTGATCAACATCCTCAAAACATGCTACCAGATGGGCCCCTCGCGCGCGCATGCCGAAATCGTTCGAACGCCCTTGCGCGCGTGCTGTCGCAAGAGTTGTTTGCAAACAGTAAGAAGAAATACACACGCGCGAGTCGTCGCGCGCGCATGCTGGAATCCTTCAAAAACCGTTCGGTTCGTAAGGATTTCAAAATCGAGTGTCCTGCCAACTGCTTAATCTAAAAAATGATGCAACAACAGTTTCCAAACAAAAACGATAAATCACGCTCGCGCTCTT